TTTAACAAAACAAAAATATTGCCTTTAAAAAGAAATTACAAACTTTAAAATGAACAGTCTTCAATTTAATGTACTTACTGTCACCTCTCTTAAATTTATAAACATTTTCAGGTGTTACAAGAACTTTCCTTATAAGGATGATCACAATGTCATGAAACAGAATGTGTATAAATTCCTGAATGGAAAATCAAACAAACAAAAACAAAACCCGAACATACATAAAGCCAAAACAAAGCAAAAAACCTTTGTGTGTGTGTGTGTGTGTGTGTGTGTGTGTATTTACTGAAATGCTAATTTCAGGATACATTTTAAATAAAGAATCCTCCATGAAATATTCTACTTTTGATAAGTAGATAACTAGGTTCCATCTTTACTTTTCGCTTTTCAATCAAAAGTTAATAATGAATAATTCTGAAGAAAAATTACTGGCTAGGACTCTACTAAGAATAAGAAAGTTAATAAGAGTTGTACGAATCCCCAATAAAATGATTTTTAAAAAAGTAAGAAAGTTACTTTACAATAACTTGTCTTTAAAATATTTATAATATAGATAACTCCCTGGCTGCAGGAAGGCGTCTGGCTTCGTTCATCTTGGAAAAAAAAAAATATATATACAGATAACTCATCTTCTAAAACATGTCTAAAATTAACTATAGAAATAATATTCCCTTTCAGCTAAAATATCACTACTTTCCTCAATACTTTAATTTCCACTTTAGGATATAAGCATACATACTTTTGTATACAAAATTATGCTTTATTAACATCAATACAAAATGGCTGCAGGTTAATCACAATTTAAGAACTTGAGAGAAGGGAAGCTTCATTAGGTATTTACAACAAAACTCTTCAGGTAAGTGATTGTTTTATCCTTCATAAAATACAAAAGAATGCCAACTTTCCTAGGGAAGTTCACATAGAAGAGATAGAAGCCATAGCCCTTCATTCTTTTTGTGTTTTATAGCATATTTGAGATGCAGATGATAATTATTCTAAGTTCTAAGCCCCCCCCCCACCCAAACCAACCAACCACCCCTGCAATAAAGTGGGAAGGACTAAGCTTTGCTATCGCCATGGTTTTCCCACCCACCTCGCCCCCCAACTCTCCCCATAAAAGCATACAAATAAGCATCCTTTAGCAAATAGCTCCCTACAGAATCCTATCACTCTTTGAGCGCTTACCACAATCTGATTTCTGGTCAGCTGACCCAAAGTTTGTTGATTTTACTGATCTTCAGAAAGCCACTGACTGGCTAAAGTCTTACTGGTGAACAGAATAAAAAATCAGATGCCCCTGCCATACTTTACAGAATGAGGAGTTGGACAACACAGTTACGTTTGGCTGCACTGTGGTGAAACATATGAGGCATCTTCTTTTTGTCTTCAACCAGCCACGTTTGGGCTGAGTAGATCTATTACATCTTCAAAAACTGAGCTCCAGTTCTTGATGGAGACAGAGGAAGGTCATTGAGGAGGTGGTTCAGCTCAAGAGCTAAGTGAATAATCTGTCTTTTGATTCAGTCCTGCTTGTGGATAGAAGTCATCTTCTGGATGGAAGAGGGAGTGAGATGACCTAGAGTCTTGAATTGGTGGATCTGCAGGAACAGAAACTAAATACAGTGGAGACCTCTTAACTGAGTAACACCACGAGATGGATTTCCTGACAATGTGTCAATATAACCTACATATAAAGATTAAACTTGTGCTTTCAAATTGATCATGCACTTGTTTTTTCAGTTATCAAATGCATTTTACCATTGAATGAAAAAATACGTTTTTCAACTAACTAATTAAAACAATATTGGGGGGGGGGCAGTTTAAGCAAAGAAAAAGACCCACTCAAACACAAACTTAAGTGTTTTTCCTTTGTGAGTGTCATAACCTTTGTCAGTTTTTCTTTCAAATGACCTTTTCTCCACATATACAAACTATAATCTCTTCTATTTAATGTAGTATTAAATATGTCAACCTCTAAGTTCAGATGGATCTTTTAAGATTTTATTTCCTAGAGATATACTTAAAGTATTACATTTAGGGTTGGATAATCTATCTTCTTGTAAATTCTAAGATCTATATCAACCAAGTTTGTTTCTACTAATCAATCAATTAAAAAATAAGGTACGGATTGCATAATCAAGTAATCTTTAAAATGTGAATAACAACTTCTAATTTCCCTCAAACTTTGATCTACAAATTCAAGAGTCACAGCTAGATTTTAGTGGATCTAATTTTCTCTGTATGTTAATAAGATTTTGCTGAACATTTGATTAATTAGAATTTGTATATGTAAATTTACTATATATACTCTCATAACTATTAGACCAGTAGTCAGCAAACTACAGCCTGGAAGTCAGTCTGGCCCACCACTTATTTTCATAAGTTTTACTGGCACACAGCAAAACTTATTTGTCCAAATAACGTTTATGGTTGCTTCCAGGCTACAATAGCAGAATTAAGAGGTTGCAACAGAGAGCTTATATCTGTCCCTTTATAGAAAAAGTTTGCAAGCCCAACAGAGACATTTATTAAAACATATGTAAGATAATTTATTTTGAAACAAAAGAGAAATGACATGTAGAAGTAAAATTATATATAGGCAAGCTATCAAATTTACTACATAAAGAATAATTATCTGGCTTTGATTCATATGAAGGAATCCCTGATCCATCTAATATTGCTTGTTTATTTTTAGTTTCTGATATGTTCAAGAGTATATACAGTATTTTACAGATTTCTATTTTTAAGTGGGCCACATTATATTGAAGTGGTTAAATATTTAAGTTACATCTTACCTAATGTTGTTTCTCCAAAATCTCTTAGATCATCCCAGACCCTTGTGTATATTTCTTCTTTGCCAGTAGATGGAGACAACACCACTGAAAGTTTAAAAGACATCATTCCCTGTTTAAAGGGAGCTTGCTGGTCTGAAAAACTGGGGAAGCCCTAACCCAAAGATTTCTTCAAAGCTACTTTAAAGAAAAAGCAGATAAAATTGGCTATGCCAAAATCAGAAATCCAAAGGAATATACCCAATATCGAACATGGACATCATCAAAAATTTACTACTTAAAAAATTGCCCATGAAGTGAATTATGTATCATGATTTTAATGATTTAACAACTAAATCATATTCATATATAACCATCTCTATTTTTTGTAAAATCCAAACTTCCTGTTTTACTGCTCTCGATTCATGCTCAATCAATCATGTTTCAGCGAGCATAACTTAAAATAAGGTCCTTTAAATTCCAGAGATGCAGTACAAATATGGTTTTAGTAATTATTAATCATATGCACTGCACTAAGCCAACTATCCAGATCCACATAAAATAAAAGAACTTTATGAAGAGAGTTAAAGTAGAAATGGTAGAAGAAATAAGAAAAATCCAATTTTATGGTCATACTGAAAAGAAATGCTCACAAAAGGGAAGAATCAACTCATCTATTTCTAAGTTTTTAATTTCCTTATTGAAATCACATAAACAGAGTAATAGCCACTTATAAGACATAAATTTCAAATCTGGAAGCTTAAGGAGTCATCCATTATTTACTATATTTTTCAAGTAACAGCTTTCTATTCCAAAATCAAAGCCCTAAAGCCATTGTTTATAGGTGTAGTTTTAAAGAAATGGCAAGATTATTAATTTAACAGAGAACTAAAATAATGTATTATTTATATTTGCCACAAGACTCCTTTCCTTGAAGTACACTAAACATGTATACCTATTTGGCAGCTTTGTAATTTTCCAGTAGAGAGAATGTTTTATTAAGAAAAAGATTATTCTTGAAGCAAATAATGTCCAGTATTCAAAGAATACAAAGCCTCAAAATCCCTATTTTCAGGTACACTTTGCTCTTCCTTTGGTTATATATCAAGACTAAAATCCGTTTATAAAAAAGGAAAGGAATAAAATATCCAAATATTACCAGACCTACAGTACCTATCTAGGTTAAACTAGATAGTTGCTGAAATAAATCCTCTTAATGACTCAATACAAGGTAAAATGCATATAGTAGGTCCTGCACTAAACTTTTTAACTCTAAACCTTTATGAGTCCTGAGATAATAACTATTATGTCAAAACTGTGACCTCATTCCAACTACCTATTAAGATTATATAAACTACTATAAATACCTTTTTATAATCCACATGTAAATGCTCTGTGGCTTTTTTTAGTAACCCTTGGGTTAGCTTCCTCTTGACAGACAACAAACTTTTTGACCTTTTGGCAACCCTTCAAAACTAGTATGTATGTATGAAGAAAATACTAATTAAATAACATCACCACTACCACCACCACAGAATGGTACTTTGTAGCTTTCAAAACGTACTCATCTTAATTTAAATCTTATGATTAAAAAGTCTCAAACAAGCATAAAATAACACCTATAGCGAAAACAGAGAATCCATGGCCAAATGCTTTTATTTGTATTTTACAATGCTATCTGTCCATCAGCACATAAGAGGGAGAAAAGCTTACATACAAGTCCTTAAGTAAAGCCAGAAGAGTGTTGTAGAATTCAGGACTAATATAGAGCAGATCTATCTAACGGTAATCTACAGACCTTATTACTAGAGGAAAAAGAAAATGACCAACAAGAAATGAATTTTCTTTACATTAATTATAGTTTTTGGGAAAAAACCACAAGACACCAGGCATTAGCCTGGCACGTTCCTTTGGGGGATTTGTGGTGTCAGTGCTCCTGCCTCCACCTGCTGGCAAATAGATTATGAAACTAACAAAGATCACTTGTTAAAAAGTTAGCATTTTATGTAACAAATAAATGTTGTTTTATATAATTAGTTAGCATGGTGCTTTTTTTTGGGTGGGGGGGCAGTTGTTAATAACTCATTAAAATATTGATGAAATCCATTAGGTGGTATTCAGGAAAACATGTATTACTTTGTGAAAACAACCACAAAACTACAAAAAATTTCTTGGTTCAGAAAATTATCTAAAAGGCCAAAAATCAAGTTAAAAATAAAATTTTAAAATTACCTGATAAATAACATCTTGGAAAAGGACTGGAAAAGTAAGTGCTGCATCTTCTAGCTCATTTAGACTACAGTGCACTAGGGTTTCATCCTTAAAATAAAAAGCACATATTGAATAAATCAAGCTACTTAAAAGAAGCTTCAAGTGGTAATTTTATGTATTCATGAGTACAAAACACATTTATTAAAATCAATTCATATGTGAAATTTTATATTTATAATCCATAATTACATGTAGCATAGCAATTTGAGATAAAATTTTCTAAGTCACTGATTCTGAAAGGGTAATCTGTAATCTCAGCATCTGGAAACCGGTTAGCTCCATTCTTAATGATTCCAAGACTGGATGGGGGTGGAGTTACCAAGGACTGGGGGTGGAGTAGGGGGTGGCATTCAGCAATCAATGTCTTAATGAGAATTTCTGGTGATACTGATGTGTGCTCAAATTTGAGAACCTCTGCTCTGAGCTCTACATTTACCAACTTTCATTTTTAAAAAGCACATGCATGCAATTTGTTTTTTAAAAAATTTTAAATGGGTAACTGAATGCAAGTTTAGAGTCTGTCAAACATATATACACATCCACACATATATTTGCATATAGTCATAATGCCTTATCCTCAAGTCTTTTGCAAAGAATCTAATTTAAATAATAGATGTTTTAGAATCTGATTAATACATCTCACAGATATATAAACACTGCTTAACTAAATTAACAATCAATAAAGACTAATCTTTGATTACTAAACTTTTGTTTTCTCCTAAGCAGGGTAAAAGAGAATAAAGATCAAGCAATCTAATGTACCTATTTACATTTACCAAATCCTTTTTCAAATTTTAAAAATTTATTTTTCTCAAATCTTATAAGGTTAAAAATAGGGCTAACATTTTCATTAAGTGCTAAAGCATTTATTTTTAAAATAAGGTGGCTAATAACTACTTAAAAGTTTTTAAAATTGTGTTTATGTTCAATTAACAAAAACACATATTCTACATCTTAACTTGCTGGAGTATTTATTTTAATCTAAGTTAAACTCTGGGGAGGTAAAGAATAAAAAGATAATCAAGACACGCCTCATTTCTTTTAGTAATATTAACAGACAAGTTCAAGATATATTTTTATCAACCCTGATACTTCTACCACAACATATCTAAAATCTAATCATTCTTCATCTAATTCTATAAAGTTATACATTTATATCCAACCAACACTTTTAACTCCTTATTTAGCTCCCCGTTAAGACTGAACAATACGCTCTGCTGATCGCATCATCAAAATCTAACAAAAACCCTTTTCAGCTTTACTGTTTGCTCATTAAATTGAAACCACTCAACTTTTAAATATTTTTTCCTTTTCTACTTATCTTCAATTACTATATCTTAAAGATATTTAGGATTTTTTTAAAAGAATAAGCTTTACTGCAAGGTAAAATTTCTGAGAACCACCATAGCCTTAATTATACGATAGCAGTACCAAATGCTAAATAATGAAATGTATTCAGTGGATATATTTATTTTTGCTAATATAAGGAAACTATATGCTGATATTAAATGCTATGATCATATATTAAATGTGATTAACAAGAAATAAAAGATTTCCCATTTTCAAAACTTTTCTGGGTATCTGAAATAGAAAGTTTAAAATTGCACTGAGAGGATACTAAAGGTTTTATTAGCATCAAAGGTCATGCTTCTGGAACTCTTAAGGATAACTTAATTGAGATTCAGATGATATGTGGTCCTTTAGGAAAACAGGTCCTAACAAAGGAGAAATCTAAAATCTAGGCATGATTCCAATAAAAATTAAGATTTCTTTGGAAATTTAAAAACCAAATAACAAAGATTTCAGGACTAATCTAAACATCAAAGGTAACTGATACCAACCAAACTAAGAAAATTTCCATTAAATGAAAATTTCAGAACACCCCTGGCACATTTATACTAAATTTGTATTCTCATCTATAAGGAGCGTTAGTGAGTGTGCAGTGGTTTGAACCCACCAACAACTCTACAGGAGAGAGGTGTGGCTTCAGATTACAGATTCTTCAAAACCAAACCTACTGCCATGGACTCACTAGTGACCCTACAGAGCAGAGCAGAACCACTGCCTCTGTGGATTTCCAGACTCTGAATGGTTTTGGGAGCAGGCAGTCTCATCTCTCTCCAGAGGCACATCTAGCTAGAAGGTTCAAAAGGCCAATTTAGGGGACAGTAGTTTAATGTGTAACCCATACCACCACTAGGGATTACAGATTACTGTCCTACTCTGTTCTACAGGATCAGTATGAATCACAACTTTACTTGCTGGCAATGGGTTTGGTTTGGCAGATAATTCTCCTTTCCAAATACACCTCCCCAGACCAAACCTTTCTAACTCCTAGTGACCCAATACGGTCAGATGTGTCCCTGTGGGTTTCTAAGACTGTATGTTCTTTATAAGAGTAGAGAGCCTCGTTTTTCTCCCACAGAATGGCTGGTCGTTCCAAACTGCTGATCCTGCAGCCCAGCACATACCCACTATGTCCCCAGGGCTACAAACATACTCACCAAGTCTAAAACTAAGGAGAATTCTGGTGTGCTTCTTGTTTTCAATGGAAGAGCAGGTTTCCGATTCAGTTGTTCTTCTGTTAGTGGTGGAACATGCTTGATGAAATAATATCTATAAATCAAATTTTTAAAAAATTAATGTCTAGTTTTGTAAGCATAAAACAGATTACTAAGTTAAGTCTAGCTCTAAGTCTATTAAAAGAGTTCACATTTAACTCATAAATCAAATGTCTAAAATATCTAAATAAAAGTGGAAATGTACAAATTAGTTAACTCAGTAATTCAGTAAAAGCATTAATTTCCACAGGTCCCATGCTCATCCTAAACTAGAATTCAGCCTCCCCTCTACACATGCACTTTTTCTGCTCCAAGAAAAAGAAATGAAAAAGAAAAAAGAAAGACAATCCAAACTCACGGATCAAATACTTCCCAGTCTTCTTCATAGGTGGCCTCTGCATGGGCTGATGAATAACCACTCTCTGGAGTTACTGGTGCTGATTTTTAAGAGAAAAAAATGTGAGTTTTACATAATATTTCTAAAAAGTATATACGGGGGCACCCCCTCCCCCACAAACCAGAAATTTTCCCCCTCAAAGTATATATTTAATTTCCCCCCATAAAACAACCTCATTACCTTCAAAGTACCCTCCATTACACTTAATACATTAGTTAAATCTGCAATTCCATTCTTGAAAACATTTTTCAAATTCATCTATTTGTATGGCTGACAGCACCTCCCCTCCATTTTTAATTCCCCTCTTCTACATTGTCAAATCAATATCCTTTTGGAGTGAGGTCAGGTGAGTAAGGCGCATAAGGCAAGACAGGGATGCTGTTTTTATTGCCAAAAACTGGTGCACTGATATGGCTGCATGAGCAGGTGCATTGTCGTGGTGGAAAAACCAGTCCCCTGTCTACCACAAATCAGGCCTTTTTTGGTTACAAAGTTATGCAACCTTTTTGGAATCTCTAAATAGAAACTTGATCAACAGTCTGCCCTGGTGGAACCAACCTCAAATGCACTATCCCCCTCACATTGGCAGAGCCTTTTCCGTTTTGGCGGGGGAATATTCACACCCGCCTCCCGTAGATTTATAATGAAAGATATTCCTGAACTCCTGTGTAATTTAGGTTAAAGGTAAGATGTAAATAAATTGCAAAGTGCTTACAAGTAAATTTTTTAACGTATAGCTTTAGTTCCAGATCCAAATGAAAAAATTATCTTCAAAGACAAAATGATGAGGTAGATCATGGCAGCAGAATTTAAAATTCCTGTCAGCTAAGAGAAAATGTACTACTTATGCCTAGGAAAATATACTCCACAAAAAAATCTAATTCTATCTGGATTGTATTCTATTTAACAACCATAAACATTTCATGGGCTCTCATAGCGACTCTCTTCAGAAAGGGCCTCAGACACTTCATCAGTAAATGGATGCAAACATACCCACAAGTAGTTTTTAATAACCTGGGATCTCCACAAATTCCAAGAAAACTTATGGGTAAAAGTTATATACAGTGAACCCTCGTTTATCGCGGTTAATCGGTTCTAGACCCTACCGTGATAAATGAAATTCCGCGAAGTAGGATTCCTTATTTGTAAATCAAATATTTTTTCGTGGTTAGAGCACAGAGACATCAAAAAACACCCTTTAGTCACCATTACACTCGTATTACCCAATTTATTAAACGAAAAAGGGAAAATGCAGTAAAACATTTTGGACGTTACAATTATCATTTATTATTTATTATATTATGAAGTACAACGGATGGAGCGAACGGAAGACTCATTCAAGTCGAAATGGCGTGCAACCTCCACGCTTTTCTTGCCATCTTTGATCATATCCAAAAGTTTTACCTTTTCCTGGATGGTGAGCATCTTCCTCTGGCGCTTATTTTTATTGTCAGAAGGCTTAGAAGAAGCAGCTCGTTTAGGAGCCATCATGGGGCTTAGATAAAATTTCTTAAAAATCACAAACAATTACAGTACACTGTACAAAAGCAAAAACGCATCTGATACGTAGCTCCGATACGTAGCGATGCAGACAGAAACGTGTACAGTATGAGCCAATCAGTGGCAGTAATGACAGAGCATGCGCTGTTACGCAAAAACCGCGATAGAGTGAAGCTGCGGAAGTCGAAGCGCGAAGTGGCGAGGGTTCACTGTATACATTATCTTATGTCCTTCTGAAGTCAGAAAGTGCTCCCCCCTTCATCGAAATGTAGTTACTACTTTTTAAGATTTATCACTTTATTTCTGATTTATAATCAATTAAAAAACAATCAAGAAACAATGCTATATTCCATCCCCAAGTGTATTCTAAGTTTGAGTTCAAAAACATCAATTGTTAGAACTTCAGGAATTATTTGAGGGATTTTATAAGATAACTCTAACTTAAACTGGAGGAAAAGTACAGATAATCTGGAAATGAAATAGGTAATTGCTCAAAGACAAAGTTTAAGATGGAATCTAATAAAAATTTGCCGTTTGAGAACGATGAGGGCAACAAATGTACATATGTGCTTGACACAATGGATGTAGGTATGGATTGTGATAAGAACTGTACAAGCTCCCAATAAAATAATTTTTTTTAATTGCCATAATTTTCTATAGCAAAAACTAATCCTTTTTGCTTTTGTCATATATAAGGTTTTGACTCATTAAGACAGAGTACATCTGATGTTTATATTCAATGAATAACACTTGATGTGAAGCACAATTTTTGTTATTTATGATAGACTTTATGCTAATAAATGAAGCACTGACACAAGATAATGAAAAACATATCTTCTATTCACTTACTTTTTGATTTTCTAGTAACTTCAGAAAAAGATGTACATTTACTGAGTGCCAATACGCTAAGTATATTTCATACTTAATCTCACTTAGCCTTTACAGCCCTTATACTGTTTCTATAACTAATATATTATGTAATTGTCATGTATTTTAAATTAATTATTCGTGTAACTAGGAGCCCCCTTGGTGGCACAAACAGGAAATTTCCTTGGATGCTTATAATTGGTGGTTTGAATGCACTAGAGGCTCCGTGGAAGAAAGGCCTCCCAATGTTGTACTTCTGAAAAATCAGCAATTGAAAATCCTACAGAGCACAGCTCTATTCTGACACATAAGGGGTTTCTAAGTCAAATTAACCCAATGGCAACTGGTTTAAATCTTTAATCAATTTGTTTGTATCAATTTAGAAATAAGAGACCTGAAATGTTAAAGAATTGGTTATAAGGAGCAAATCCAAAAAAAAGATCAAATCTTAACTTTGAAGGGAGAAGAAGGCCATCCTGTTTTATATCTGCTTAAAAGTATGCCCTAAAATCCACAAACACAATCTCATCTTCTTATCTAGCACAATCCTTAGAGGAAAGACATTCCTGATTTCCTGATTTCCACATTCCTTGATCACAGGGTCCCAGCAGTTATGCTAGGCTAGTGGAGGGAGAGATCCAGGACAGGTGCTCCTTTGTAGAGGATGGCATCTACACAGCAAGTACACAAAGATGAAGGTGGGAGAATGTTTCTATGTAGGGACCGCATACCTAACGGACTAAAACTAGTAAAATTATAATAAATTAAAATTTTTATTTTTACTTAAAAAGCCAATTTCAAAGTGGTTCTAGTTTTCACTGAAAATTTGTTTTCTTCTCCCATCCCCTCATTAAAGAAAAATGAAGGTATTTAAATCGCCTAAATAAGAAAAAAATATGAAGACTTTAATTTTTTTTAACATTTTATTAGGGGCTCATACAACTGTTATCCCAATCCATAGACACATCAATTGTGTAAAGCGCATTTGTACATCGTTTCTCAAAACATTTTCTCTCCATTTAAACCCCCGACATTAGGTCCTCATTTTTCCCTCTCCCTCCCCGCTCCCCCCTCCCGCATGAGCCCTTGATAGTTTATAAATGGGTATTTTGTCATATCTTGGAAAAGACTTTAATTTTATAAACTACTTACAAAGATGAATAAAACAAAGACTTTTCTTTACCTGTAAGAGGTGGGATATCCCGATTAACGGTTTCTTCAGCTTCTTCTAAACCATTATTTATCGACGATCTCACTTGAACTGCTTGAGTTGAGTAAGCTGCTCCATTAGTTGAAGTAGTCGTACTGGTAGTGATCTCATCCACCTGTTCCATATCAAGCTGTTTCACTATCTCTTCAGCTTCCACAGCCTGTCCTGGGGAATCTGATCCTGCTGTTCCTGAAAATAATGGTTCAGTACATTCACAGTCATTATTTAAAAAGTAATACAATGGAAAATTCGGATAGTATAGCTAGGAAAAAGGTTTTTCTTAGGAGCTTCAAATACTTTAAAAGTCTCCATTTATACTTAAGTAACAGCCACAGTTTGAACTTTTCATCCTTACGTTCAAGCATCTCCATTGTTATGTGGTGTTGAGTTCATAGGGCTTTCTAAGCTGTAATCTTTTGGGGAGCAGATTGTCAGGTCTTTCACCCACGGTGCCATGGGTAGGTTTCAACTGTTTGTTTGTAACCACTGCCACTGCTCGTTAAAGATCTCTATATTAACTGATAATGGGCAGCATTTAGTAGGGACCTATTATGTGCTAAGCATGGAGTACTGGTGGTCCAATAAAAAAGCTAAGTTTATTTCCTCATTATAGTGAGTTATCACATTACCTTGCTGCCCCTGCTAGCATTTATGCCACTCTGGAATAATATCAAGTCTTTGACTGCTTTCTGGATTCTTCCATTATTTTAAACAACAAAAGTAAGAACAAAGCCAACCTCCAATACTCTCAACTTCCTAACAGCCTATTCTTCCTTCCTTCATTGCTTTAAAATTAACCACTTTCCTAAAAAACATTTCTTTCTGATATTCTTCCCTCAAGGCTCTTTATCCTCCCACTCTCTATGTACTAATTAAATCAGAATTCATTTATCTCCATTGTTGGTCCCATATTTGGTTTTCCACAATGATGAAAAAATGTCTGCTCCTTTGAGATCAATGTCACTTGGCTACATAATTCTTCACTTAACTACACTCTCATCCTCTCAGAGCGATCTCACACCTTGTTCCTAGTTAACCACTCTACGTAATGTCTAATTCTTATCTCAGGTGAAGTCAATGACGCATCCAAACCTAATCCTTGACGTCTGGCCCTCTTCAGCTCTTATCATATCTCTTCAGCAGTTATCACAATGGTTAGATCCGGACGTTAACAGAGAAATAACATGCCTCTGAAACATAGTACTCCAATATGCTAATCCCTTACCACAGCGTCCTCTTATATAATTTCAATTATTTATCTCATATCACATATTTAATAAAGACAAGTCCTTTTTTCCAAGCAAATCCCTCAACAGCACCTTCCTGAATCTCCCCTAGTTGAGACATCCTGGTGTTGAACCACTCTCACGGCGGCAGATTCCAATGTCATCTGTCACTGAAACCCTCTCCGTCTTTTAGCAAATTAACAAAATAGCCCATAAAATAAAGATTATTACCTACGAAAAATTAGCTCTTTTAAGAAATCATCAATGAGGCCAAATGGTCAAAAATTACTTTAAAGACAAAAAGGTAAAGGGCCAGACGCGGCAATACTGGAAATGGTACAACCAGATAGAATGAATGAGAATGATGGCACATTGTGCAAAATGTAGCCAGTATCACTGAATCGTGTGTAGACATTAAATGGGAACCTACTTTACATAAAATTTCACCTTAAACATTAACCTAACCAACTAGTTTCTTGGGCTTTAGTCCCAAGCCACTGAAGCAATGACTATTCCAATTAAAAAATAATCTAATCGTAGCCAGGCCCATAGCACTGCTGTTCAGCACATTTTCAGGTGTGTCAGCTTCTTTTTCTTGTTACCCACAGCAACCATTCTACACCTTCAATATTCTCATCAAGTTCACCAGGACATTCTCAGTAAATGATACTATCCCCCTTTTATCAAAGGACAAATATTATATGAGACCACTATAATTAAGGATAAGAACCAAGACAAAGGTTTGCATTGCCAAAGGAGGGCAGGCAAGCATGAGAAGATGAAGCAAAAGGTTAGAAGGTTGACAGGTATTGAAGTGGGTCAAAGGGAGGATGGAGGTCTATAAGATCGAAATTTGGTGGGGGGTTGAGGAGGTTGATGAGTGATTTCAATTGTTCAATGTAGAGTTGATACTCTGAAATGTAACCCACCTACCCACCCCCAGGTCTCACAGACACATACAAAATAGAACAGACATCTATTCTTGCATGCTCCTTTTTAGCTTCTTCTCTGATGTTGGAAGATTGTCTTCTCCCTGTTTCAGTGCCAATTCCCTACCTGTTCTCTTGGCCCTAATCCTGTCTCAAAAAACCACCTCCAGTAGTCATTCCCTTTTTCCTCATCCATTTTCAACTTCCTCCTCCTCTCTATAACACTGCCCACCCCCTTGAAGTTTCTTTCACGGTCAAGTTCCTCACAACAAGTAGCACTCTTCTCACCCAAGGAAGTTATGTTGGACTCTAGTGACTCTTTTGGAACTGTTCGGGCAAAAAAGAAAACACAAACGGCCTTCTAAAATGCCAGGTTTAGTGGTGTATTGTCAGTGTTCATTTCCTTACCTTCTATTTTTATAACTGTTTGACCCTGGTTATTTATATTCTCTTCTTTGGATTCCACTGCACAAAGTCTCTCCTAGTCCCTCATATCTCGTTTGTTAGCTCTTCTTACTTTTTCTAGGCCTGAAATGTGTTCCCTCAAGATTCTGCTGAATTCACTTACTCCACAGTTTCAACTAATACCTCTAAGCTGGTGACACCATAATAAATTGTTTAAATCCAGAATTCTTCTGAGCTCTACATCAAAATAACAAATTGCTACTAGACTTTATTTGGTCATCTTTTGGGATCTCAAAACGTATCATAGCAAGATTAACCCTAAATTGTGATCTCTCCCTCTTAAATGTTCTACCCAGTGTCATCTTCTCTTTCACATCAATCTGTGCCCCCAATTTGTTTATTCTACACCTCTCTATGTCATAATTATATTTTCATCAAGTATCACCGGGACTACTGCAGGTCTAGTCACTGTTCTTTCTGCCTTTAATTTCTACATTTTGGTATTTAGCTCACATACTCCGGTCAAAGAGAGCTTTATAAAACACTACTTTAAAACTTTTCATTTGTTCCCCACTGTCTAAGGGTAAAGTTCAAATGCAATCTGACTTCTTTATCATTTTTCTATACCGTCCTCAAATGCAGACTTCCTCGTGACAGACGAGTGGCAGTTTCTCAAACACACGACTGTTTCCCGGCGCAGAGCTTTTGCCATGCTCCCGGGGTGCCGTTTTCTATCTTACACTTACTTTTGAAGACGTAGCTTTCCTATGTGTTGCTTGTTTCCTGACTGAGTATTTATTTTATATACACCGTTTTAGCTCTTTCTTTTGCCCTTTTGCTTTTGGTATGTTTCTCAGTTTAAGAAACATGGAAGGGACAGGTACACAGAGACAATAGTTCATGCAACAGCTTACTGAGGATGGCGGGATGTTGCGGGGAATTGGGGAGCAATTAATGAATATGGGAGGGGAGGGAGGTGTACTACAACTGATTGTGGTTATGTATATAAAACTCATTTTAAACACAAATGCCCTATGGAAGCATATGATAGGTGAATTATATTGCAACAAAACTATTGGGGGGAAAATAAAAGCAAAACAATCAAAAGAAGTAAACCAATACTAAAGTATAGCTTATTCATGGAAGAAATTTAGCACTTCTGTGAAGTCTTTGGTGAGCCACTACCCCACCCCCACCGCTCAGAAAAAAATGACCAATCCATTTTTTGATATCTCACAGTCTTCTGTTCCTGTATTTTGATGATTGTATAACTTAAAAAAAATAATTTTATTGGGAGCTCTTAAAACAATCCATACATCCATTGTGTTAAGCACATTTGTGCATATGTTG